GGAAGTGGACGTACGAGTCGAAAGAGAAAATCCCTTGTAGGAAACTCTGATATAGGTGCAGAAGGTCACACTGAAGTTTCATTGTTAATATTTAGCTACATGTTGATATTAAGGAGAATTTTTGTAGTTGGTAAACCTAGCAGATACTAGTAAGTCGGGAAGTTGCTTGTGAGATGAAACCATCTCACACCTTGTCGTGCTGTCCTATGGCACTGCTCTTTATGAGAGTCATAATACATCTCCCAGGGATTTATAAAACTTTCAGAAATGGAACTTTAATGTGTAGGGGTAGTATTACTACAAGAAACAGTGTGATTTGCAGGCCTTTTGTGGATTAAAAGTGGCCTGGAAATGGTGACTGCAAATTACCTAGTAAAAGCTTAGAAAAGAACACTGAAAAGGTAAATTTTGGAGTCCAGAAATATCCTCCCCCAGCCCTCAAGAGGGGGATGCCACTGATGTAAACCTGCCTGATTACTGTTTTCTGTGACATTTGTGGAAGGGTTTAGTAGCAGCCATGGCACTCTGCAGGCACATGAGAAATTAGTCCCCCCTTGCTCAGTGATGCAGGACGAAAAGGGGGTTCTTGTGTGATTAAATCCAAGTCTTTCTCGTTAGGGGAGCCTGTGGCCTATAATATCATTCATAAATCTATCAGGCTTCATCTTTATACTAATTAGGTTAGTTCTACTGGGAGGTTGCCTCAAAACCTGACTTTCTTGTGTCGAAACTGTGCTCTAATTTACTCTCATAGTAACAGTCTGTATAAATTGATATAACTGGTAAGAGCAAGTGCAGACAGCCCTCCAAAGAGTCACTCTTCTTACATGCTGTTTATATTGGAGACAACCAGTTTCCTTGATTTCCTCTTTACTGGGTTTCTTTTGCTTTTTGTTTTTCTTTTTCTTTTGCCTGGGGAAGAATCTTACATATGGAAAAGTGACTTAGGTTGTCTTGTTCTTTGATTTGCACAGGAATAATGCTGTCGTTTTAATTATTATTTTTAAATAGTTCATCATATTTCTACAAACAATATGAATAATCAGTCAGCTATTGCGTCTTGTAGTGAAGGACCAGCACAGCTGGCTCAGCTTTTATGCACCCCCAGCAATTAGTTCAGACTGACTCTCAGATTGTTTTTTTTTTTTTTCTGTGTCTTTTGTCTAAATTGCTGGTTTGCAGCAGTGACGCAGACCTTTTGTGGAAGTTGTTCTATTGCTGTATAGACACTAAATTTCTTTTATGGTTATACATGAAATTATAATGCCATTGAAATACAACCTTGTAATAATTTTACTTGCATCCTTCCGTAGGCCTGATTCTGCTGTCCTAATTTGCCTAAGGAAATATTCATTTGATGCCATGTGCTTCAGGAACACCACTGAGCGAGGTGCTCGTGCTCCCCTACCATTGCACACTACCATCTTTGGCTTTTTTGGGAATATGGTATAAGGCTATCCTGAAATGAGTGCCAACCACTCCGGGGTTTGTCCCTCTGTCCTCATTTTGCTCTGTGCTTACAACTGTCTCTGCGACGTCGGGGAAAGCTGTCCTGATGTTATTGCAATTGCACAGTGTCTCTCTGACCTTCAAGACTACAAAATACTTGAGGGGTTCTGCTGTTTAAAACTCAGGAGAGAGTCAGCACTTCCATTCCCAGCTGTGCCACAGACAGCAGCATGTCTGGTCAATCCTGTTGCTGTCTCTGCAGAAGTTACCCAGATAGTGGCAGGCAGCAAATATAAATAACAATATATGTGTAAGATGAGGTGGACTCAGCTGATCTGTCTGATAATAAAAGAATTCCGTGGCAGCTGGTCTTTATTACAAATTTTATGACTGTTACTGAAAAGCCAGCTTTTATCCTCCCTTTTTTTTCTGAGAAAGTTTTCCCTTTCCCATTATTTGCTGCCGGGAACTCTGACATTCATAAAACATGTGACTGCACCATATTGATTGAGGTTCATGCCAGTAGAAAAAGACTTGGGGGAGAGGGGAGGAAGAAGGTACTTCCTGTAGAGTTAAATTACCAATTCTTATTGAAAAAAACCCATAGTTGCAGGATCTGTCTTTATTTGTTCTGCTGTTGATGCTGAGGAGAAATTGATTTGCAGATACTTTAGTGAACTACTTTAAAAGCTGTCTCTTACTTTTCCCTTTGACAGGAATAGCTTCCTACTCATTTCAGAAGGGCCTTCTGTAGACACTATACTTTTGTTTCTAAGCTTAGACGGGTTTTCTGGACTGACCTAGATGAGATTTTGTTACATTAAAAGCAATTCCACATCTTGGGCTCAAAAAGCCTTTAAATTAGAGCCACCTAAGTATAACTTAATTTATGCCAGCTTCCTCTGTCCCTCAGGCTATTATCTTGTGACCTGAAGTAGGATACTTTTGCCCAACCGTAAGTCCTCATGCTGATAAATGAAAGCAAATGTGAAGGCACCACAGTTAACTGTTCTTGAGCTCTTTATTGAGGCTGCGCCCTCCCCACTAACACTCCTAATGGCCACATGTTTTGCTGAGGTTTCTCCTCCCTGCACCACAGAATAGAAATAGGAAATGCGAAACAGAAAATGCAGTGGTGGCTCCTGCCACTCTCCACGTCAGGTGGGGACTGCACAGAAGATGTTGGAGTTTGCTGTGGGGCTCAGCGGGAGCAGCTCAAGGCTCTACCACGAGCCTCAAGTGGCTTGAGTTGGGAAGTTTGAGCTTGGCCAGAACTTTTCCTCTCTTTTCATCACACAGTTGATTTTTTCTTAAAACTGTTTTAGACACTCGTCAACCGTCTCAATATAAGCTGCCTGCCTTATTTTTCATGCTAGTTTTTAACATTTTATTAGAGTGAACCTGCTGCCTTTGACAAAGCAATAGTAGAAAAGGCATAAAGGAGGCAGAAATCCAGTTATGGTCTCTGAAATCTCCAAGTGATGTGCTCAGAATAACTTGCATCTCTTTTATTTTGCATAAAGCAAACCATTAAACTAACATGACCCAATGGGGAAAATATTACAGATGCATAGCACTCAAATTATAGTCTTAAATGAGCCAATTCATACTTAATTTTCCTTTTTATTATTAGAATTTTGTTTGGATTATCTTTGGGATTTGGGGAGTCCTGTGAAACAGAGGTGAATCATTTGATGTTTAACAGTTTATGAACACTTGCACTGTGAAATCTAATTACCATACTCATGCTTTGAGTTGATTTTTGTGTTCATGATATGAAGTTAGTTTATCATTGAAAGAGCACAAAAAGCAAATAAGTGACAGGCTCTGTGATTTTAGTGCTGGACTGCTTCAGTAAGGACCTTCCCTTTTATAATTCAGTTGAGATTTTGCAGGTGAAAACCTTTTTGCATTTTTGCTCTAATTCTGAGACAGAGGGATATTTTGATATACCCAGGAAAGGCTTCAGGATCTGTGATGAGTGAGTGCAATGGAAATGTAGCATCGTTTCTGTTTTCTCAGAGTAATACATTTCAGAATGGGGCTGACTTTTGTCTCAAGCGATACATGTCATCAGGTCTCAGCAGCTTCCCCGTTGTGTTTCTCTAGGTCAGGCACTATTTTAAGGACACACGCTGTGCAGGAAGATGAATTGGTACGTGGCTGAGGTATTGGAGAGTGAGAAGCAATCAGGTATTTGGAAGACATCGTGCCTGGTCTTGAGATCATCCCATGAGCTGTCAAGTTGGACTGACTTCCAGGGATAGGGGGAACAGCTGAATTTATTGGTATTTAGACTATTTATAGGCTTCTTGCCAATTCTTAGTTGGAAGGCTGGCTTTCTTAGAATAGAATCATAGAATCATTGAGGTTGGAAGAGACCCTTGGGATCATCGAGTCCAACCATCTACCCTACTCTACAAAGTCCTCCCCTACACCATATCCCTCAGTACCGCATCTAAACGTCCCTTAAACACAGCCAGGGACGGTGACTCAACCACCTCCCTGGGCAGCCTGTTCCAATGCCCAACCACTCTCTCTGTGAAGAATTCCTTCCTAATGTTCAATCTAAACCTACCCTGTTGGAGCTTGAAGCCGTTCCCTCTCGTTCTATTGTTAATTACCTGTGAGAAGAGACCAGCACCAACCTCTCTACAGTGTCCTTTCAAGTAGTTGTAGAGAGTGATGAGGTCTCCCCTCAGCCTCCTCTTCCTCATACTGAACAGCCCCAGCTCCTTCAGCCGCTCTTCGTATGATTTGTCTTCTAGGCCCTTCACTAGTTTCGTTGCCCTCCTCTGCACTCGCTCCAGCACCTCGATATCTCTCTTGTATTGAGGTGCCCAAAACTGGACACAATACTCGAGGTGTGGCCTCACCAGTGCCGAGTACAGGGGCATAATCACCTCCCTACTTCTGCTGGTCACACTATTTTTGATACAAGCCAGAATGCCATTGGCTTTCTTGGCCACCTGGGCACACTGCCGGCTCATATTCAGCCGTTTGTCAATTAGAACCCCCAGGTCTCTTTCCTCCAGGCAGCTTTCCAGCCACACTTCCCCCAGCCTGTAGCGCTGCATGGGGTTGTTGTGGCCCAAGTGCAGAACCTGGCACTTGCCCTTGTTGAAACTCATGCCATTGATCTTGGCCCAGTGATCCAATCTATCTAGGTCCCTCTGTAGGGCTTCCCTATCCTCCTGGGAGTCAACACTCCTGCTTAACTTGGTATCATCTGCAAACTTGCTGATGTTACACCCTATGTCCTTATCGAGATCATCAATAAAGACGTTCAATAGAAATGGTCCTAGCACTGAGCCCTGAGGCACACCACTAGTGACCGGCCGCCAGCTGGATTTGATTCCATTGAGCACCACTCTTTGGGACCTTCCAGTCAGCCAGTGCTTGATCCAACAGATCGTATGCTTGTCCAGGCTGTGTGAAGCCAGTTTTTCCAGCAGATTTGTATGGGGGACAGTGTCAAATGCTTTTTGAAAATCCAGGTATACAATATCAACAGCCTTTCCCTCGTCCAATAATCTGGTTATCTTGTCATAGAAGGAGATCAAGTTCGTCTGGCAGGACCTGCCTTTCATAAACCCATGCTGACTAGGCCTGATCCCCTGGTTGCCCATTATGTGGGTTTTGATGTTTCTTCCTAAATCTTAGTGAAGCTATCTGATCAGCTGTATTACTTGTAAGGATTTTTATTAACAGAACTTTTGGAAAGATTTTTGGTTTCTGGTATCATAATGTAAAACCACACTGTACAATGAAAAGCAGGCTTTTTTAAAATCACAACACCAAAATCTAATGGTTCTGAAATGAGCATAGGTAGACCCAGATAAAAAGTAGAAAAAAATGTCAACTTTGTTGCATCAAGCATCCTGTTTTGAAGGGGAGTTGTGAATTCAGCTCTGATACTGCCTTGCCATAGGGTTGGTTGTGTCCTTCACAATACTGAAGGGGCATGAACTGTAGACTAAAAGGAACAGGGGGTTCTTTTTCTTGCACAAGTGCCTTGCGTTCTCCAGCTCCCTGGTTTTCAGAGGTGGAGGTTGTGTGTGACCACTCTGCACACAGCGCTGATGGCTCTGGAAGGAGATGTTCCTGGAGCTGGCCCTTCCACTGGGCTGGAAGCAGCTGTGCAGAAACAAAGCTGAATCTGGGTGTGCTGTTTTCTGGGCCAGCTTGAAGAGATTATTGTCCAGCACGGTCCATCTGCTTCTTACCATTCCCAACTGAAGGCAGTTTTCCTCTTAGGTGTGCTGGCATGTGCATCTAGATGAAGCTGCTTTCAAACAGAAATCATTCAGAATAATCTGTACTGGTTTTTGTATAGTGGGTTTTTAATTGATCGTTCTGTCAGGAAAACGTTAAATTAGGGTTATACATGGTGTCATGCTGCAGCAAAAGCAAGGGATGGTGCAAGCAGCTGAGAAGGGATTTGGCGAAATTATGTGTTTCAATGGTCCAGATGGAACTGACCATCTCCTGAGCTGTACAGCAAGGGATTTTTTCTTTTAGCTGTGCTTTACTGCACATGTTAAGTTTTCTTTCTCCTACGTGAATAGTGGTTAAATAATTTGCTCCCATTGAAAGTCATCCTGAAAGTCAGGAGCTGGATGTTTAACTTCCATTTGTGTCTTTGAAAAATATATTTTGCCAGCGTGCAACAGCATTAAAGTCCAGCCGGCCCAGCCAATTTTGAGATACTGAACATAAGAGGAAAATTTATGGTGTGAAAACTGTGTTAAATTTTACAAACCTGCTTTGCAATGCAAAACTCATTCATAGCAAAGTAGTTGAATCAAAGGCTCACCACTGCCAACTAATTATTTAATGTTCTCTAGCTAATGTTGTTACGCTGCCAAAAATGTGTGCTTCCATCTCTTTTTCTTTTCTCATTAGGAGGATAAGCTGATAAATTATTTTTCTGCTTGAGTTGTGTTTGATTTGCACTAAATTTTCTTTTGTGAAACTAAATCTCTGTTCCCTCTCTTCATCAGCAAATTTGGAAAATGGCACATCATCTCTTTGCTGCTGAATCTAGAAGTAAATATATTTTTAATCAAGTTTTGTCACACTCTTCAAACAAAACACATTTTTAAAACCTTTTAAAGTTTGAGAATACGGAAAACAAAATGAATGTGTGACTCCTTGTCCTTGCAAAAGGCTTTGAATTTAGTGATACAAAATAAGATGGTTGTGAGGCTGCTTGCCAAGGATTTGAGAGATTTGCCTTCAGTTCACTGCTGTTCTAAACCATTACAGGCCCCATAAGAGGGCTGGCAAGTACTTTTATCTTCGACCTGTAAAAAGGCTTTTCTTAAATGTCAAGAGGACAAACACACTGGAATTCAGGTGCAGTTCAGAAGTGTTCATATATCAGGGTAAAGCTGGTAGTTTAGAAACTAAATGCAGAGCACCCCACAATACCACCCCCCACTAACTCAGCACCACTTTCTGTATTGCACTGCAAAATAAAGATTGGCATTCGGGCCATTTCAGCCAGTGGGAAACCTGCTGTTGATGCCAGTGCGGGTAGGATTCCCCTGAAGAATTCTTCAGTTTCATCATAATGCAAATTCACACGAAATATTTACATCTCCTTGTTGCAATATCCAAAAATGAGCATTTTTTTTTTTTTGTACAAGTTTATAGCTTGTAGCTATCCCATCTGGAACTTTGATTTCATCGGCTCTTGCAAACAAAGCATATTTCAGTCTGGTTCAGAGGCTGAGAAGGAAAACCCAGGATATTAGTGTTCTGATTTAGTAACTAGTGCTATCCTTCTCTTTCTGCTGTTTTGGTGCTAAATTGTGCTTCCCTCAAAATGGACAGAATACTTGTTGGATTAAATCCCATTTGAGACTCGGTTTCCTGGTGGTCTGTATTCCCATGCAATCACTTGTTGCGTTGAGATCTTGACGGGATCCCTGACCAACAGACACCCCAGGAGGCACCGTGATGAAGTTGCCAGTTGAGCCAGTCTGTGCAGGGATTCAAGAAGCCCTTTCTGATCAGATTCCCAGCTTTAATTATCACTGCACACTGCAGTTGTCCTCTTGAGTCCTCCATCCAGATACTGATGAGCCCCTGTGTTAAGCTTATGGGCTCTCTGGAGATCCCAGATGAGAAGATGACATCTGTAAGGCTACATGTTTACAGGCTTCTCCTGCAGTATTTCAGTGGCAACAGGGCCCAACAGTGCAATGGTTGTAAACGGGGGCAGATCACCTGGGGGAAGACAGCAGAAATGGCAGTTTTCATCAAAACAGGTAGTGATCTCTTACATACGCTTAGTGCAGAGAGAGCTTCCAATTACCATTTGAAAGCAATACCACAGTTCAGCTAAAGCAAACCTGAATTTATTGAAATAGAGTTGTTTCCACAACTACGAAGCATTTGTATTTGTTTTGTGGAGAAGCAAAGCCAGCCAGAGGTCCCGTTGGGCTTAGAGTCAAGGTTTGAGATCTTCAAACTGAGGCCTCAGGACAACACATTTCTAAAAATGTGTAAATAATCAATCTGTCAGATTTTTGGCAGAGCTTTTGCTTGTGTCTCCATAGTGATCCTGGCAGACGTAGTGCGTGGAGCTGGTCAGTCAGAGCAGTAATTGAGGCATTAAGCTATTGTACTTCAAGATATCTCAAATCTCTCATAGCTGCATTCTGGCTAAATTTAGCAGAAAACAGGCTATGGAAAGAAATGTCTTTAAAAAGCCATCATGGAAAATGGAACTAAGAGAGGGAGAGTTGGGCATTTTGGTGGTGGTTAAGGAACTTGAAAGCAAAAGCTGGCAAAACTGTATTAGAAGCTTGGTCTTAACAGATATATTTCAGCAAATGGATGTGTGAGATGGTCCTCTAAATGCTAGAATTTCATTAGGGTTAGGGGAGAAGAGAGGCTGCTTAATGCTGAATTTCTGTAGACAGGGAGATGCCTTCTGGTCTTAGCTGATTTCACATGTTGCAGTAATCCAATGGCAGTCTAAAGTGTGGCAGGGAATATCAGGTTATGGGCTAAATCCCAGTCTTAAGAAAGGCAAGAATAGGGCTGGGTTTGGTTGGTTTCCCTGGGTTTTGGATTTACCCCTGGCTTCTGAACAATTTATTTACACAATATGTTTGACCTTGCGCTATGTAGAATTTGTAAATCGTGTTCCTAAGAGTCCATGGCCTCCACTGTGGATGCTCTGTTGGGGTTCATTGCAGTACGAAGGGACAGAAGAAAAAGAAAAAATCAGTTACAGACATTTAGATGGTAAGTTAAGTTTTATATGAAATTTTCACTATATATAATGGGCAACCTTAAAGGCCATATACACACTACCTGTTTTTTGTGCCTTGCTCAGGCCTCAAAGCTATGGTGTCGTGCTGGTGATTCAGATGGCCTTTGCCCAAGTCTGTGGAATTCTGGCTCTTCAGGGGCATTACAAAAGCAATCACAGCACCCAGGAGAGCAGCTTGTGTTCAGTAGCCTGAGTACAATCCTAAATCATTATAAAAGCCTCCTGGCAGTATGGTACAGAATTGGGGTCTTGATCTCTTGTTCTCAAGTCTCCATATCCAACATCCTGAGATGTGGTGTCTCAGCTGGAACTATGTAGGCTTTTTAATAGAGAAAAACAATAGAACATTCTCGAAGTGGTAACTATTCTCAGAGATAGCTGAGCTTCCATGTCTGTAGTTGCATGGTTAAAACCATGGTCCAGCAGGCATCTAAGTATGGCTGTCTGGTCGGGAGGAACTGATCAGTATAGGCTTGCTTCCACTTGAGTTCTTGGCATTATGGGGTTCTGCACAAGTTGTGATCTTAGTGCAGCTTTCAGAAGTTGAGGTGACTTGTGGGGCTAAGCAATTGGGAAGTTTGGTTCAGTAAAACAGCTGCATCCTCACCTGCCCTTGTATCAGCATGGATGTGTAGATGCACTCACTAAAAACACTGAAATTGTAACCTGAGAAGAGAGGACAGTGATCTATTATATGCAAAAGAAGAGACAAACTCCCTTTGGGTCCTTTCAGGTCACTTGTCAGAGTTTAATTGCCATCTTCTTCCTCTGCATCTCCATGACAACCTTTCCATTGCAGTGGTCATGTCAATATCTAACAACCTGGTGAATGAACAAAAAGGCCTCTGTACAGTGGATATTATACAGTCTATGCACCAGGCAGTAAGTGCCCATTTAACCACTCTTCAGAAGGCTTAAGTAAGTCTAAAAATAACATTTAGAGTAGCTGCAGTGAAATCATTCTCAAGTCAGAGCTGTTGTATTTGCTGTCGCAAAGTTCTCCTGCTGCAGCTCAGATACTCTGCTTGCTCTAGGAAGAAATAAGAGCAAGGACAGTCAAGGAGCCAAGATAAAGACGCAGAGCTGTGCCTATGGGATGGTGCCATTTCTGGTGACCTACACAGTGCCTAGCATTGTTTTCTCACCACTATTCCAGCTTGTAGCATCTGTTTTCCTGAGCTGGTGCTCCTTCCTGGATGGTGACTAATGAAATAATAGTCTGAGCAGTACCACCATATGGCTCAGGGATGCCATCTTTGTGCTAGAACCCATCATCTGGGTCAGTAACTGTTCAAAAGTAGCTACAAATATAACACAGTGTTTCCTATCAGTGTGAGTAATACTCGTGTAACTGTATCCTGATAACCTGCTGGGAACGTACTCCCCGGTCTGAGTTGTGATTTAAACTGACAGAAGCATCTCAATTTGTAATGAAGAATGACAATCTGTCTTCCCTTCGTTTTACTACATAACTGTGCCCCATCTGTCTGCCTGCCTCCCGACTGCAAGGCCAGCGCAGTCCCTGGGTTGTTTCCGTGCATGCTAATTCTTAAGGGCAAAAATTCACACCGTTAAAGACAGCTAACATATCATGTGGACGTGCACAGCACAAAGCAATCCTCCAGGGCAGGCTCACACACTTGCAGCACTTGGAAATCTTGTGTTTCCTCCCAGTTGAGAGCTAAGTGAGCGGGTGAAAATATTGAGCTGCTCCATTCGTTCGATCCTACCATTTGTTTGTTTGCTGTAGCTCAGAAATGAGCTTGTGGAGTTGCTAGTCTTCTTGTTTGCAAATGCCGTCTGTATAGAAGAAGCCAGTTTGGAAATGCAGAAAATAAAACATGCTTTTGAAAGAAGTTCAGAAATCATCGCATGGATAGATAAGGACAAGAATTTTATTTTTTAAACTGCATGTTTTATTGTAAAATGGAGCCAAGTATTGATTATGGTCTTAAAAAAAGTCTGAAGGACAGGTCCTTAAGTCAGGGACAGAATATTAATAGGTTTGTTACCAGGTAAATGTAACAACTAATGCTTGGAGAGGGAGGGCATTTTCTTGTTGGTTCACAAAAATTGCCCTATAAGCAATCCATTAGAATGGTCTCTTCCATTCTCTTGGCTTTCTCTTTTGCCCAGTATGTCCCTGGTGCAACCTTGGAAGACAACACGAGGCAGAAAAAGCTGTAGGGTTTGCACCAAACCCCTTTGTAGCCTTGACACCTTTTGTTTAAAATCTGTGCTGTAGTATTTGCCAGGTACAACAGCGTGCCCCCAGGTAACACAACGCGTGCTGTGCTTAAAGGTCCATTTATCTGCTCTCCACGTCATCCGTAACAAGTGAGCAGGAGAGCCTCAGGTTGTGCTGGTGCAGGGGGTTTCAAATCATTAATTGTGTGGCTCACACTGTGACAGAGTCCTTCTGGGACCTCCCAGTGAATCCCCTCTGCTGCAGGTGCTTACATGGAGGAGCGTTTAGCCTGGGTTCCAGCTCTCCCTTGACGTAAACTAACGGGTAGATGCTACGAAGAGATTTGGTGTCACGGACTGTCCATTCTCTGTAGGCACCAACTGGCTTCTGATCACAAAATGGGAAGCTCTGCTAAAACTGTTGTGGTAAAATAACGAGTTAGTTCAGGTACAGGCCTTTCCACTGTAGCCTTTTTAAGGTGTGTATAGGTGTTCAGTCCCGAGAAGGTATATAATACAGCTGAGTTCTGTGCAAAGATTGGTAGGGAAGCAGCGCTGCTTCGACAGAGAGCAATCTGCACCATTTGTTCTCGTAATTAGTCCTTTCTTGAGGCAGCCTTGCTTTCTGGGAGGTGTTTGCTTGTGCCAACCAGAGATTTTTATGGAAGATGTGATACATCTTGATGCACTGAAGCACAATCACTTAAAATTGAAAGATAACACACTTGAGGTTTTAGTTAACTGAGTGCTATTTTAAAGATAATCCAAAACTGACATGAGCCAGGTTTAGGATGGTGGCACAGACTAAGGCACAGGCCAAAAGCAGAGTGGGTCCATTAAGGGGCTGTGAAAACTTGCAAATGGCTTTTTCCCTGCTGATAACACAGATGGTGCTACTTTAAAACTATTCTTTTTGACAATGCTGCAGTGGATGGTGATAAAAGAGGATTATGTTAAAACTAAAGCCATATGTTATCTAATTAACATAATATATGTATTTTATTCTAGGTTTCCAGTGATTGAGAAGTTTGACGCCATTTTCAAGTTCTTTTTATGTTACATTAGCTTGTAGCTATCTTTTTAGAGTTATCCACATTCATTTTCACTTACAAAGCTTATGCATTGTCTTAGCCAAGAAAAATAAATTTCTACAGATTGAAAACTCCTTCTGAACTGAATGGGAATTATATCTTTGGAATGACAGTGCACCACGCAGAGAGCATTTTTGCAGGGAAGATGTCAGAATGTTTCATTTCTGTGTGCATTCTTTCATGAAAATGTATCCTTGATAGCGCCTTTGCATAGGACAAAATCTGGAGCTTAGAATGGGCTTTCAGAAAAGGACTGAAAACCTGCAGCCTGTGTTGCATTCTCTGTGTCTCAGACTTTTAACTTCTCTGTACCAAAATGCACCTGTAACTCACACTTAAATCTATGTCTGGTGTTAGCTGGCTTTTTATTGTTGTGGTTGCAGTTTCACAGCATAGAGGTACACAGCACAGGAGTCTGGCTAGATTGTGTGCAGAGTTCTGTGCTAGGATGGGTAGGTGACATCACAATAGGTCCTGCTTTACATTGAGATTTACGTCTGGAGTTTGGTCAGGGCTGGGGTTTTCTTCTGCAGAAGCATTTTTAAGAACTTTAGTTTTACTGGATTATACTCTTTCCTAAATTTAGGGGATGGTGCCAGTCTCCATTGAATTTCAGGGAGATACTGGTTGTCCTGGTACTTGCTAGGGCTCCTGTAAGGGTTAGGATTCAGGAGAGAGAGGGCAGAATCTCCCAGGTTGCAACGGAATCTTTTGGGTTTCTTGAGTGTGGAATAAGCCAGGGTACTAGGCCTATGCTTTATGTGGTAATTTCACTGTAGATATTGGTCACCTGGGCATGTGGATGGGTAGAGTTTGGGTTAGGGTTTGGCTTTTAAAAATGAACAATTAGCCCAGTCTTCAATGGACTTGGAGACCCAGGATGAGGGCTGGTGTCAGCACCGCTCCTCTTAGGTGAAAGGAGTGGCTACGTGCTGCTATTTCCAACTAAGGTTGATTGAAGATTAGTTTCAGAAAAGAAGTGAAAACTTTTCTACTTTTCGCTTAATTCTATTTGGCTTAGATTAAGATTAAAAGCAACAGCTGGAGTCAGCAGGGTTCCCTGTCCTTGTTTTCCTTCAGTACTGGTGACATAGCTTTATCTGTGGCTGGCGTTAGGTTTGATTTAACAGTTAGGAATTGAAGGCAGAAGTGTCTGTAAGGATTAAGATTTTGCTTTATTTCATATGACCTTTGCAGCCCAGGATGAAAGCTCTGGTCTCCATCGGTTGATGACTAGCACTGAATTTAAGCATTTAACTGCATATTAAAGAATTCTGAAAACTGGCAATGTCCTCATATTTAGGTATGTACAGAGGTACTGGTTTCAGCAACACAAACACTAAACTGCAGTAAATGTACATTTCATGGGCCTGAATAACAGTTATGCCAGGGAAGTGATAATAAAGCCACCAATATTCTTGTCTAAAGAGGCAGACTGTCTTTTAATCTGACAAATAATTGGAAAAGAGTGTTAACATTACAAGTGGCATCTTGGAAAGCATGGGACTTTGTTGTATAGAGCCACTGACTAACGTCTGGATGCTGGTGCTCATTTGGTTGTAGAACCAACTGATGCAGTCCAGCTGACAGTATTTTGCTGAAAGCAAATCAAGAGAAAATGAAATAGCACATGTGGGACATTGTTGTCCGTTACTGAAGAATTGTCCTGCTTTCTGCTGTTTTTAGCCTGGCTTCTGAAGGAAAAAAGACTAATGAATTCCCATTATCCTTGTCAGTGTCTGTCCTGTCTCTCTCAAATTACCAATCTGTTTCTCTCCCCATTGGCTAATTTCAGTCAAATTTGTCTGAGACAACAGTGAAAATTACGGTCAAACAAGTTTCTTCAGAATAGATGGTATTTGGGCAAAGAATCTCAATGAAGTGCCCTCATGGAGGGGAACACTACAGCTTGAATTTGCACATTACTAGGCATCAGAGAAGCCATCAGGGAGTGAGATCTCAGCCAGAGCTTCCCTTAAAGCTCTCAAATCAGTCATGGGAGATGAATGTATAGGAAAGCAAACTTCATTAGTTCTTCTGCCCACAAGGAAAATGTGCACCGCTGTGAATTGCACCTGGATAGCACTGGTTGTTTAGATGCCTCCATAGGTTATTTAGGGCCAGATTTACTATGCCAGTAGCTATTCCATGGAGCAGAAAGTTACAGTAATTAAATGCACGAGTGAGATGGTGCTGTTGGCATGATAATAACAAATATCTTTCACCAGAAGAAACTTTGTTTTCCAGGTTTGTAGTTTATTGGCTTTAATGGTAACTTGATTGATTCCTTAGCTGCTTTTTGAGCACTTAGTCAGAAAAGCAGTGTCTTGAGACTATCAAGGAGTTGCTGCTTTTTTTTCTTGTCTAATCCCCTGAATTTCTGCCCATCTTTGTTGCGTTAGACTAGGGGAAACTCCCCTAAATGTTGATCTCGTTTAACAGTGATTAATCTTGAGTAACAGCTGAAATAATGCAGAAAGCACTTGTTAAGCAAAAATCTGCAAACAAATGACAAGTACAGCTCTTTGCTTCGGTTCCCACAGCTGAAAATGAGAAAGCTTTTGCAAAGTCATGGAAACAAAATAGCTGTGCTAATCTGAAAACAGCAGCCCTGCATATGTTTTCGAGGAGAAAAGAGGAGAAAAGAAGAAACCTGATGCCTGTGAGTGGCCGAGTCTGTCATGTATCAGTCTTGGACTGGAAATTTGGCACTTTGGTACCTCTTTCCCTTAGACCCACAGAACAGCTCGTGTTCTGTCAAAAACGGTCTGCCTTACTGTCTGAAAGGCAGCTATGCTGTCATTCGAGAGAAGGAGTTCAAGCACATTTGTTTGCATGTTTTTATGCTTTTGAAGAATATTCCAGAACCAGGTTTGCTATTGAGAAAATCACACTGTATAGAAACAGTACCACAGCAATCCTTCTTACAGAAATACATACCTGTAGTTCTTTTGGGTCCAGTTTACTAGTTTAACTAGTTTATCTCTAAGAATCCTCCTCTGAATTGCGTGAGAGGGAGAAATTTGCCCTCTGATTTCCTCAGTGATAGCACATTATTGATGGCTTAAGAGCTATCAAAGTTTCCAGCTAGATTCATCAAAGTATTAAGCAAACTTTCAATATACATCTCCTCAGTCCTTTCACATCACAGAAAGGTCCATATGAAGAGATCAAGAGCACACAATGAACATGCAAATAGCGTGGTAAGAACAAGGTCATCATGGCTACTGTTGCCATAAGAGGGATCCTGATTTCTCTTTTCTGATTGCCCATGCAACTCGTGTGGAAGTTCTCAGAACCTCACTGGATTTATGCTAAAATGAAGGTAAGAACATATTCTATCCATCTACAAATCATGGTCAGTGAGTTTATATATACCAGTCATACTAGATGTGGGCTCAGCTCTCTACTTTTATATAGAGATAATAGGTGGAAAAAGTAAACATTAAAACTTCCATTGTCAGAGAGGCATTTCTAACAATGTATTATAGGATAGAACTGAAACCAGGGAATAAGTACTATTTTACCTTTCTGCAATTGGTATTATAATTTGTACTGTGGCAATGATTGATGTCCCATTTAGTTGGCCACTAAAGGAATAAACAGAAAGTCTGTATCCTGAAGAGCTCAGTTCTGTGATTTTTGTAACTGTTCCCACTTCCTCCTTAAATGGTTTTTAAAATTTGTCAAATGATAATGACTGAATTTGTCTCATAGATGAAACATGTTTTTAATGGGGAAAATAATAATGCTGGCTAACGTTGTTCCTTTTTATGATATATAAGGAAATTTTTAAAAGGTGTATTGTAATATTTTTCAAATCAGATCTTTATACCTTTACAGCCCTGTAAAGTACCCCTATTGTATGGGAGAATTCTAAGTAGAGAAAAACTGAAAGTATTCAAGAGAAGTGCTTGCTACTTTGAAAGTTCCAGTGTCAGTGAGGGAGTAAATTCAGAGCTGAAATTGGGGCGCTATTGCAGACATTTGAGAGATGCTTTGTCACCCAGTGTAACATCCATAGACTGGTCAGGCTGATGAACCTTAGAATTTCTGCATTTCATTTTCTGGAATTCTGCTTTGTTCAAATGCTGTCAGACAGCTTGTGCTGTCAGAGGGCACTCTAGAAAAGCAGGAAAAGCAGAAAATAATGTTGTTAGATAATGTCCCTGTTGTTTTTCCCCTTGTCTTCGAAAATGACTTTGCCTCTGCGTCAGACTGAAGTGTTTGCATTTCCTATTCCCCTTTAAGAAATAAATAGGTCACTTGCCTGTAAGAGGCTGGAAAGAGCCAGCTGTGTTCGTGGTATTGCCACCGGCATGTCATTACTTAGAAAATGTGGTTATTTACCTGGTAATTGTGTGTTTCTACCATAATTTTCCTGTGGTGGTCTTGTTCACTAGGCTGTTGAAAACGTGCCTGGTGCAGCATAAAGAGATGCAGTGATGAGGAGGTTCCCTGCCCAGCGACGCAGCCCTCTCTGGTTTTCCTTAAGGTCACCTTCAGCCGCCGCCGCCTTCACGCTTCAGTCTCTCCCTGTTCCATTTCAGTGCTCTGTGCAATAACAGGTTGCAGAATTCAGTTTCTTAAATTGGCATCTTTAAAAAGCCCCACTTTGAAAAGCTAAACACTTTAATGATCATGTGTATCCACCCTGCAGGCTTTTACATAACAATTTTGGTTTTCCTCTTGTTGACATTCAAGAGCTAAAGCAGCGTACTGTGCTCTGAGAATCTAAAAAACAGAAGCAGCAAATTCTTCTTGTTCTGAAAGCTGTTCAGCAGCAGCTACTTCACTCTAGGAGTTTTCTTTTATGACACTCTCAGAGCACTGTCCAATTTTTTGAAATGGTACTTAAAACTTGATGATCAAATGCGTTTAATGTGTCTCCCATCTCTGCAGAAGTGAGATCTATGAACGGAGCCAACCTCTGCGATACAGGTAGCTGAGCAACCCCTACAAGTTGCCTGGGAGGAAGCCTGCATAAGTCTAGTTGAAGCCAGCTGTTTTTATGATGACACTTTCTTTTTAAATCATGCTTATTTGGTAAATATATCATCTATAATGCTTAATACCTTAATTTCTTTCCTAAATTTTTGGGGGGGTAAATAGCGAAGGGAGGGAAGCAATAGGGCAATAACTGTGTCAAGCCTTTGGGTGTGCAGGAGAACGGCAGGTTTTATACGCAACCCAACATCATGATTACGTTGACAGGATACACAACGCTGTGTAGAAGATAAAAGCATGTTTAACTGTCTCACCAAACAAGAGTGATGTTACTCACAGAAATATGTGCAAAATAGTAAGCATTTGGGAATATTCTGGTAAATTGACATCTTAATGTGTGCATGTTTGAATCCTAAAGCTGTTTAGTCATTTACAGGAGAAAGGTGTCCATGACGAATTGCTCATTAAAGATTTGGAGACTTTAAAGCTCCAGACTCCTCCGGTACCACAAAAGCAAAGCGTTTCTCTGACAAAAGGCAGGAACAAGGCAGGTAAAGTGAACGGTACAGAACACTGCATAGTAGTTCCAGAAGAGAAACAGCAGGAAAAATGCCAGAAATATCAAAACATAATTTGCCACCAGACAGCTCTTAAAGCAAGTATACATTGGGGTGAGATGCTGACCTTATTAAAGTCACCGGGAGTGTTTCTGTTGCCATCATTAGCACAGTTTTGCCTGATAAAATGAAGATGAGTGTGTGTGGGGAGGGAGTTGCATTCAGCTGAGATTCCCTTTATTTCTCAGGTTGCTCTGAGGCCTGGGAGGCCTCCTTGGGAGAGCTGAGGGAGGTGCAGTGGTGGACTCAAAAGCGTGTGAATGAAGTCTTAAAGCCAAGGTGCTGGAGCTCAGGCTGTTTGTGTCACTGCTGTGCAAGTTTCTCCTTATATACAATCATACTTTACTTTCCCAGTGGGGTTCTGTGGTTCCCGAAGTGGACCAGGGCTTTGGTCAGTGAATCTCCAAAGAGGACTGGAAACCTGACTTTACTTGGCTCTCTAAGAGTGCTTTGTGGCACAAACTCAGTGCAAAGCAAAACACTGAATCTACTTCTTGAAATAATTTTCACATATCTAGAACCAGAGTTTAAATGATTTTTACATTATCGATTTAATAGATATTGCTTAATGTGATTTATTGTAGTAATAAAGAAGTCCTTCGATTACCAAATTAATATGTCCAAACTACAATCTGGTGAGTCCTAAGTAAAAAGTGAATTGCTGCCCACAGTCAATAGTTTAATAGTGGAAATGCTATTTAATTTTTTTATTATTCAAATTTATGTTCAGTTTTCTTAATTAGCATATAAATATTGTAAATCACTTATATGGAAAAAGCCTTATCCTGGAAGATTTCTACTGATTATACATATCTGTGTAAGGCAAATCTTGGCTAACACAGAGCAGTGAACACAAATCAGGCAGAGCAGGGTTATGGTACAATGAAAATTGTTTGTCTTTGCCAACTTAGTTTCTGTACAAGAATTTGTGGACCCTTATGTAGGGATCAGAATTTTTCTGCCTTTAATATGAACATGTAAATGAGTAACCATTTTCTTTTATGTGTATGTATTGCTTTGGAATGGGTTTGCTTATCCATTCTGTACCAGTTCTTTTTTTAAGCATCCGTTCAAGCTCCTCTTTGGCATCTTTGGGAACTGCTGCTGAAAGTATGTTACTCCTGTAGTCGCCTTTGGCCAAGACATATAGTAATTCAGCTGAAGAAAATCATTCTGTTCTGTCACTAGAGGGCCAGAGTAAGGAAACATTTAGAAGGAAGGTTTATAAACGAGCACTATTTTAGATCAATGGAAGAGAAAGTGACAAAGCTAATAATTAAGAAAAATCTGTTTTCATCCTCATTTTGTGCGTGCGGACTCAAGTCCCGACACCTTCAGTTGTAACAGTAGAAGTAGGTAGCTTTCAAGCCATTTAGTGTTTTTAGGTTAAAATGTACACCCTAATCTTATTTTCATTCTTAACAGATAGCCAGAGTTGACAAAGGAATATCCATTTCCTCCCAGAAAAATACTCAACCTAGGAAATGACCCATTGACACCATGTGTAACTTTTGACCAGGAGGTATCGAGGCCTTCTGTGAAGTACATTGCAGTAATCTAGTCTGAAAGCAAGTTCAGCCTAGAGCGTGTCAGGTGTCTTCCTTCAGAGGTGTGAAGTCAAGTCTCAGAGTAGACTTGAAAGCCAACCCCAAACCACTGCTGAAAAGAAGCCTGTGCCCGTTCAGACTGCCAGAGGAGGTGTGAGCCACCTCATTCCTTCAGATATTCCTGCCCCCGCAGGTGAAGGACATTGTTCCAAGGGCCTGCCCTTCTGGGCTCTGGTGGGCTCCTGGCCTCGGCGTCTGCAGGTGACACACACAACAATCACGCTTTGCATCTAAAAGGAACACCCCAAACTTGTCACTCTTCTGGCTGTACCAGCTGGTGGTTTCCTAACAGATGCCAGGAACCAACAAATTTCCAGAAGGTACACCTGTCCCACAGGTAAGCCCTCCCAGCAACAAAACAAATACTCTCTCTGCCATCTCTTCTGGCTGGTTCATCAGGTCCCAGCCTTGGAGCTTCTCCTGTTTTTTTAAACCAACTCTCAGGCAATAAGGGCAAGAATCTACACCCTTGCTTTCCACAAATGCAGTTAATTGGTTTGTTCCAACACTCTCTTCCGCTGTTGGAACTGAGAAAGGGGATATTAGTACTAATATTATTGGGCTAATATGAAAGTTCACAAGTTATTTTTCAAGTTTAATGTATGGCAATTGCCATTTATACGCTCTGAATTTGACAGTACCTGCTTCACAACTGCTGTTGTTATGTCCGGTTTTAAAGGAAGAATAAATATTTCATCAGCAACTGAGAATTAGATGATGTTTGTTCACACACATAAAAAACTGCAGTGGTTAAGCATCCAGTGCATAGTGTTGCTGGGTCCCTGCCAGGCAATAGTTTGAAGGTGCTTGAATATTTTGAACTGAAGTTTGTTCTTCTTCAGATGGGTTCTTAATCAGCCAAATTATTCAGAATGTCCACTCTACCTGTTAAACCTACTTAAGCATCAGCCATTTCATTTTCATGAATCTATTTATTCAGGGGGTTATAATTAGTAACTCTTACATTTCTGCATAAATTTTTAATGTGGGATTGGAGAAGGACAATTACCCAGGCAATCTAGTAGAGCAAATACATCTTTGTAACCTCTCCTTCTGAAACAAAAGCAACAAGAAAAGCCTTTGTGATTCTGATTTTTCAGCCCTGCACAAACATGTTTTGTCCTTGTCTCTCAACTGAATTAACAGCATTATATCCCTGCATCCCGGACACTTTTGCCAGGAATTGTAGTTGGATGTGCTTTAAGCTGCTTTGTTTGGTTTATTGGGAGTTCAATCAAACACATCACATAGTCACGTTAATGTCAGAATTTAATGGGCTTGTGTCATTTCCCCAGTTGGTCTATGTCTGGCCTGCCCCATGAAGATACCAGTGAGTGCTTGTACTGGAAAAGAGTGAAAGAAACGCTGTGTTTGATGTGGCTGCTTGCAGAGCATCCACAGGAATCACTATGGGTGGGAGAAGTGTGTACACGAGCTCAGCCGAGCTGCTGCTCTCCGAGGGGTGACACTTCTGTCGCCCGAAAAGCACCGATGCTGTTCAGCCAAAGCCAGAGCAGGGCACACCCAGATTTTCCACATGCTTTGTAACCAACTGAATTTGGAAAGCGAGCTAATTAAAGATGTACAAAGCTTCATGCCTATCTTTATTATAAAGATGGTGACTATGACAAAATTTTTCAGGTGAAACCTACAATGGAAGGGAAGGAAACGTGCATTTCTAATGAAACAGCTCTGCACTTCAGATGAAAAGCAGGCGAGATCTTGACTAGGCAAATTAACCTCCCTCCCCATCTATTGTGTGCTGAGAAATTATTTTTAGCACGCCTGTGACACTTTTGATAATTACTTTTCTATGTAATCAAAGGCTGTATTTAACAAAACAGAGATGACACTGGGAGTTCAGCATGAAAGGAGATGTCTAGGTAATCATCTTTATCTTGCTCATATTAATAACCTGGGAACGCACAGCTACAGAACCTATAGTTACCTTCTCAAAGCAGAGGAGAAATAATTACCTGTATTGAGTATTTATTAATAGCCAGTATAATACATTCTAAAATCACTCGTGAAGTATCTGGCCCCAACAGGTGTTTAGTAGGCTGCAGAATCATAAAAATGGCAGGTAAACGTGGCTACCTGCTTTGACTGGTAGCTTCTCCTTCTTTTCCAGATAGGTATCATCAAATATTAAGATACTATGAAATTTCATGAGTTGAGTCAGTTGTGCCTGCTGGGCAGTTCAGCCTGGACTGCCCCCAGAACCCAAAGGGTAAGATTTGCAAAAGAGGAGAATTGTTAGAATATCTAAACAATGTGGAAGCCAGTTTCTGCCTGAAGCTCGTGCTGAAAGCTACAGCAGCAACCAAGTGCCATTCCCAGCATCTTCTCACTTTCTGTTGCTTGCGAAAGATCAGCTTGGGGGGAAAAAAACCAAACAAAACCCAAAACAGGATAAAACCCAGTAATTCACAGAAAGCTGTCAAATTAATAGAACCTTATTTGAAAATCAGCATGAATTTTATATCATTCAGTATGCCTTGTCTATTTAACCTTTTTTTTAAAAAAAAAAAAATTAACAGCTTTCAAATAAAGTACTGAAAAATACTTTATTACTGGAGGCCTTTGGAATGAAATGACAAATTTAACATGTGGTTTGTCAGTGATTGGGACTGGAATTTCTCCAGCCCCATTTTGCTGAGGGCATTTTCTCTATTGTTGGTCGCTTTCTGATCATCTGTACTGCCTGGGAAAGGAAAAAATCTCTATTTTATTAGCTTCACTGAAGAAATTGAATGACACGGGTTTTTTCCATGACTGACAGGTGAGTAAAAAAAAAGTTATGGTGAGGTTATGATTATTTTCCCCTGCTGCGATGAGATTAGAAAAAGTTGAAGTCAGCACCTGGTTGCTCAATAAATAACCCTCAATAAATATGATATACAATAAAAATGAAATCTAGTATTTCATTCACAATTCGAGCAGCAGGTCAGTTTCTGTGCTCACTTCCTCGTTAAGAAACTTCTCTTCAAAGAACCACCATTAAATTATGATTCTCTGCTTCCCAGGATGATTTGTACTTCTGAACTTAGCACTTAGACAGTAAGAAATAACTCATTAATTTTAAGCTTTTCAGTTCTCTCCATTGACTTGCAAGAGGAAAAAAATAACGGAATAATTGCTTCCAGGTCTAAGAAGAGGGTGAGATGTGTAGTTATTCATTAATATACTTGGACTGCCTGTCCCACCACTGTGAACGTCTATTGTGTTCTTCAAAAGGTTGCCACAAACTGGTAAAGTTATAAGTTTAGTTAAGAGTTAAAGTATTCCTCACATCTTCATCTTTTCTGTGGACTCAGCTTGCTAAATTGAGAACGATCCAGGAATGGATTTCACTTGAAAAGTAAACATAGATATTTAAAATGTATTTTGAAATATTTGAAGTTTTGGAAGGTGTCGGAGTCCAGTAAATTCCCTCTATTGTGTTTAAAATTTGGCACTTTTCACTGGAAGTATTTTTTAGAACTATGTTACAAGACTTTACAAGACAAGCTTCAGTTTAAATTTTATAAATGGAACCTAATTTTCTAAAAATAAATGTAATTTGAGGATGACAGCTGACCGTGAAGCACTGAGCAGGGATGCCCTCTGCTGCACACTCTACTGGTCTGAGCTGTTGAAACCATATGGCTAAAATGTTGTCGGATGGTACAGAAAGTGTAATTAACAGTCAAGCATTCTATTTTTAATGTTAAATATTGAGTCATTCACAAACTATTCAGAATAATTACTCATATCTTATTTTATCTTAATTTTAAGTTAATATTTATTATCTGAATTATCCTCCTTACCAGAGGAAAATGGAAGTTAGCTGATTCTGTTACTCTGTGAAGAATCTACTGGGAAGATTTCACTAGATACATCAGGTATTTTATTAACTATGCATTTCAGCAAATTAATTTTCTTAATCTCATTTCTTGAGAATAGGCTATTGTGCTGCAAAGATCCTGTTGGTGTTACTGCTCCATAATCCAAACGTTTCCCTGGTGTGTACTTCCCAGCCTACAGATTTGTCAGTAGACTATTCCGTTCTGCTCCACTGTTTTTTCTAATTATACTATATATTCCTTTTCCCGTAACTTCTACCCCTTACAAGCAATATATTTTCATCATTTGAAAGAACATTATTTCAATAGCTTATTTGTACATTCTGATTGCCAGTATTATTTCATAACACAAAGTCGGTTCAAAGTTACGTGTTTCAACTTTGATTAGTACTTCTGCTTTTCTTAGCTGTACAAAAGACAGCTAATATATTTCAGCTGGGCTTGCTTCTGCTTTGAAAGCTGGTATATGGAAATCAAGATTATAACAAGTACGAGTATGACAAGCTAAATTTCTGCTTATTACATTAACACTGGGATGTTGTGTTTGGTTGCTGTTTATTCATGGTAATAATCCATCTTTTCCTCAACAATTGAAGCATATCTAATGCCAATTACAGCTATTACCCTGATGCAGACTGCTTGAAAATTCATGTTGTCATATTTACTCTTGACTACTTATATGGCAAGCACTTGGGTATGGAAAAAAATTATAGGTCAAAAAATGAGAGAAAGAAGAGAATATACCTGTTGAATTAGAGGGCTCAGCTGTTTCTGATGTGAATTGAAAATTTGCAAAGTGTTGCGTAGTCCCCTACTTGCTATCCATCAATATTAACATCTAATTTACTCCAACTAGACATGAACCACCTTGTGGGAAAAGCAATTAACAAGTGAAATCAGATACCTCAAATTCTCGGGGTTTAGGCTATTTCATTATAATCCAGTGATGGTTACCACACAGACTTTACTTCTGTTCAGCTAATCTAGTTTACAAGCTGTTAGGAAATTCATCTTCAGCCTATACCTGACTGTTCTGTATTTGAACAATATTACTTTGCTATTTTCAGATTTGGCTTTGTTTGTGATTGTGTTACATAATGACATCAAAATAATTAAATCACTCTCCAAGACACGATCTGTTTCAAATTTCCTAGTGAAACACCTCAAAATTGAGCCCTCTGCCTGTTGTGTTACTCCATGCAGGGGAGTCTAACTCCACCTTCAGTGTTTCCTCACCAAAAAAAAAAGTAATTTTGGCTGAATGAAGACCATGTAGTATCAGAAGGAGCAAATTCCATATCTTGCATTCTCTTAATTGCTGAGAGGGTTGGAGTGAATGACTTTGTTGGTCCTGCCTCCATCAACAGCCCCAAAGTTGTCTCAGGCCTCAGACAGATAACGGGAAAATTAATACAGCAAAAAAGCCAATGAAAGTTTCATTAAGTTAGCAATCAGCTGTCCAGGCTTCAGTGTACCAGCACCTGCAGGTGGCATTCGTGGGTGTGTAGCTGGTGCTAGACTAGTGGGATTAAATCCAGCATGGGGTTACTCCTAGTCACTGTTAGGTCCCCCTTACCAGTGGTGTGGTTGACAGACATTTAAACTCACCTTAGAAACCTCTTCTGATACAAATGCAGCCAAGCCCAACGTTGTCCCCCAGGATCAGGATACAGTCTCAGCCTCTCCACTCACTAGGCAATGTGTCTTGCAGCTTCACTCCTGGGGACATCTCTGCACCCACAAAATGTTCTCTGTGGAAGAAGACAGAAGGAGCTGAACCATTCCCCATACACAGCCAGGTCACAGAGGCTGTCTTCTCTCATGGATAAAGGAACAGATTTGGCTGCAGGTGAGAAGCCCTGGGCATTATCTCTCATAATGAGGTAGGGAACAGAACATTTTCATTTCCTACTCTCTCCTTTCTAAGTGAATTTACAGGTGGCTGACTCCCGCCTCTATTTTCAGTAATTTATTCTTTTACTTAAGCCAGCAAATGAAAATATGAGTTATCTTCCTGGCTGACATTTGCATATTCATTAAACATTTCATTAAATTATTTCACAGCATTTTTAAATGATTGCTAACTGACAACTCAGGATGTCCCTATCTCCTGGCAATCTAAATTGGCAGAGCTGTACCGTGGCTGACTTGAAAGGGCACAATCGTTCTTACCCGTTGGTAAAACGCAGCAGTGTCAGAGAGAGACTGAGCTTTTAACAGGTAATTTACCATTGCAAGCCTTCATCCCCTTCATCCCCGGATTCCTTTAAAATATTTGCATGTTCAGCAGCACCAAAATTATCTCCACTAATGTGCAGGCATAATGGGAACACTTACAGGTCCTGACATTTCTTACTCTGATTTGTATTCATGGTTTTGACATTAAGGTTTATTTTGTATTTGTATTCAAAGATTGCGCGAATAGGAAATTAGCCCAACATAAAGTGAAATAATAGGAAAAATATAAACTGGTGGATTAACTGTCTTCTTAAAATCTGACTTGAACCCCTCTGCTGAAGTCAACATTGTTTATAAAATATTCCTATTGAATACAGTGCATTATATTATACAATCCTGGATTTTTAAGGACATCTGTGATAGCTGGAAGACTAATCTGTTAAAACAACAAACTATGAATTCTCGACACTATGGAAATAACATTGGAAATTTAATGGTTTTTGGCAAACTATGCAAAGGACTGCCCTTTCTTGGATGTTATGTAGAAATACACGTTGATTGTGTGTGAGTCAAGAACTGCAAGGTGAGATTTGTGTAATCACAAGGTAGTTGCTAAGTCAGAGAAAGACAGCATAGTGATAAGACTTCATTCGTTCATTCAAATGCTCATTGACTGTTTATTTTCTCATTCCAGCTCGGTACAGGTTTTGTGAGAAAGCTAACTGCTCGTGACAAGATAGTGTATGTGATTTGGCAGTAAAGTAAAATTTGTTTGGCACCAAACAGAACTTAGGGCTTCGGGTTTAGATGTGACAGAGAATGAGGCTAGAGCTATATAGTAGAAAATTAAAAAGTTATTCTTTTAAATTCTCTGGAGGTTCAATTTTTATCTAGGTTCCTAAGTCCCCTAAGGATTTACAACTCTGACCCCAGCTCCTAAAAATTTAGTAAGTTACACTTTAGTGAAAAAATACGACATTATAATAGAAGTATTTGAAAACCTTAATAAAGGGCAGCTCTACCTGCTCTGCTCTTACTTAATAGTAGTAATAAAATAGATGGCAGTAGAAGAAATGTGTTAATGTATGTTTGTAAGTCATATGTCTAAGACAAGGTTAGCGTGATAAGTTGCACATAGTTCTTTTTTCCAGTGGGATTTACTGACTGTGAATATATGGCCATGCTGGAAAGCACAGATGAAAACTGTAGGAATGTGAATTATTTCCTTCCTTACTAAAATGTTCAAAAGCTTAAGCTGTTAGAGATTTGTGAAAAAAACTAATACTTTATAGGAGGCTTTTTTCCTACTTTTTTGCTATATCTCTAATTTTGTTAAAACACTTCACAGAAACATTGCAGGAAACAGTTTCTAGTGTTGGAAAACACTTTGCTTATCTACAAATCATACATTAAACTGTTGCAAAGTCATCCACAATATTGTTATTTGATTGGAAACAGATTTCATGTTTTTATCTCTTACATTAGTCATACACATAAACTTGATTTTTAGTGATGATCGTGTAAATATAAATCAAGACAAATGGATCAAGAACACAAAGTTGATTTCAGAAGGCTCTCTATAGCTTTGAATAACTTGGGGGAAAAGCATGTGCTTCTGGGGATGATCTGGTCCCGATACGTTTACCATTTCCTAAATGAGTAATAGAGAAGCTGTAACAGATTTATTATGCATAAACCAGTAACAAACAGTTACTGATGGTATGATTTGTGAGAATGTTTATCAGTACTTTGAAGATTAAATTTTGTTACTAACAAAACTGCTTAGGTTCAAGAAAAAGTCTTTATTATATCTTTAATGTGGCAATGGAATATTGTGCTACATTTACAATTGGTTTTATTATTATTATTTTGTGCAGAAACTACAGTGACATAAGCACTTTCTATAATTGGGAAATTAAACAGATTATTATTCTCTTTTTGAAGAAATTATTGTGATTGCAAGGCTGCCTTTTCTATTCATTTTCAGTGCAACAAATTGGTTTTTCAAGATTTTGTTACTCCTTCCCATCCCAAATCTGTCCTGTCTCCCGCTAAGCTTAGATTCATGAAAGGCCAAATGCATTTTGCCTATGTAGAAAATATCTTTTTATCCTCAAAAATAAATTTTCTTACAAAGCATATCAGTTGTGCTATTAATCACACAGAATGTTTATAACTTTTTTGATGTGCTAACTATATTATTTTTGATGATGACTCTTATGCTAGCATGCCCATGTATTCTTTGAATAACAGGCAAAATTATGCATACATTTACACATCCATGATATTTGAAGGCTTCTGTTTCCTAATGCAGGTATACATGGTTCCTTCTTATAATCTTTTTATAAACTTTTATTTGATTTTTTGTCAATGAACAGTGTCATAATTATTATTATTAAGTAACAGGCAAAAAGCCCCATCAGTAAGAAGACTTTCCTGCATGTCACTAATCTGCAAATCTGTGAAGAACAAGGAATGCCAGTTTGCTCTGGCTCTTGGTAACAATGGAAAGGTTTGTTATTACTGGTTTAATTTCTGTTCTCTGTTGTCCTTTCCAAGATCACCTGGGTATTTTGCCTTAACCAGTGAGATGCTCCTGGTTCTTCTTACTCTGTTATGGCATATGGAGTCTTTTCATCTTCTGGGACAGCCTTTTAAACAGCATTTCTTTGGGCTGGTTAATGGTGTGTGGCCTGTTCGGGTGCATAGTGCCCACCCTTGAAAATAGTTTGAAATTCACCTCTGCTCAGTGGCTGCTACTGAATGCAGAGGCTGGAACTGGCTGAGCCAGGTAGATGACTCTTGTTGTTCTCCTCTGTTATTTACTGAAGGTAGCCAGTAAATGCAGTGCTGCCTGTGTGTCTCTGTCCCTGCTGGTCACACAAGCCACATAAAACCATCTGCAACTGCGCTTCTCAATGACTTTACAGACCTTGCTATACATGCACATAACGTGCATGTTCACACACACCCTTGCCCCTATATATGTAGTACTTTCACGTTTGTTCTCTGCATGTAACTTATCCACTGGTGCCTTTATACTTGCCACAGGATGAGATTCCCTGGTGCCAGATTTTGGGACAAGGTGTCACAGACGTTCTGCTGGTCTATGTCACCATGCACCATGTAATAAACCAACTAAGAGGACTGGTTATTTGAAGTGGATTTCATAACATCACAAAACTGTAATTTTTGAGAGGATACTTCTATACAGCTGCTAGTGAAAGGAAACTATAAAGCCATGAGTTAGCTCTTCCAATGAATCTCTAGGCTAGACAAGGCTCCACTAACGAAGTTGAGTTCTGTTTAAAATAGATTATCGTGTCATGAGTGGCAGCTAAAACACATCTTAAAGTTGACTGACTTTAATACAGAACTGTAAACTTTAAAACTCTATAATCATACATGCATTGTGTACCGATCTGAAATGGATATGCAGTGCTTGGCTTCCCCGGGATATTTCTTAGCATGAAATCATGCGCAGATTTTCTCTGTCTTAACTTACCTATAAAGTGGCTTGTAAGAAATGTACCCTGCTTCCTGATTTGGACTATATAAAATTCATCAGGAGACAGAATATTTGATTCTTTTAAGTACTTACAAGATTTAAAAAAAAAGGATTTTGGGACAAGGTGTCACAGATGTTCTGCTGGTTTATGTCACCATGCACCATGTAATAAACCAACTAAGAGGACTGGTTATTTGAAGTGGATTTCATAACATCACAAAACTGTAATTTTTGAGAGGATACTTCTATACAGCTGCTAGTGAAAGGAAACTATAAAGCCATGAGTTAGCTCTTCCAATGAATCTCTAGGCTAGACAAGGCTCCACTAACGAAGTTGAGTTCTGTTTAAAATAGATTCAGCTGCTAGTGAAAGGAAACTATAATAGCTATGACTTAGCTCTTTAAATGAATCTCTAGGCTAGACAAGGCTCCACTAACGAAGTTGAGTTCTGTTTAAAATAGATTATCGTGTCATGAGTGGCAGCTAAAACACATCTTAAAGTTGACTGACTTTAATACAGAACTGTAAACTTTAAAACTCTATAATCATACATGCATTGTGTACCGATCTGAAATGGATATGCAGTGCTTGGCTTCCCCGGGATATTTCTTAGCATGAAATCATGCGCAGATTTTCTCTGTCTTAACTTACCTATAAAGTGGCTTGTAAGAAATGTACCCTGCTTCCTGATTTGGACTATATAAAATTCATCAGGAGACAGAATATTTGATTCTTTTAAGTACTTACAAGATTTAAAAAAAAAGAAGACTAAAGATCACTATTATTTGCTTTTTTGGTGAATACTTTGCCACTTTGCTCTCTGGGCCGTTTCTAGTACAGTATCATTAATATTCCACAGCAGTGTAAGTTTCAAGCCATCAGTAAGTATTAGTAAAAATTAAGGAGATCAGTTTTTTGTTTTGGCTTGGGTTTTTTATACTCCAAATACAGTTTCCCTTTGGGAATGGGTGAGGTTCAGGACAGGAATATTCAGCCTTTGATCAGTCAAATTCTTAGGCTCTGGTATGTCATAATTCATCAGAATTAGAATCATTTATTACCATTTGAAAAAACAGATACATTCACACTTTCCAAACATCAAATCCCCTTTCCTCCTGCTGTAGTCCTGGTATGAAACCTCACAGCATTTTCAAAGTTAAAAGCACAGCATTATTTATATCTATAAAAACTATTTTGGGTGATTTTCATAATGTTCTAATAAAACTACCTGGATGTAACTCATTCCTATTTTCCAGGACAGTATCATTTGATTTATAATACCAAATCGGCCAGGATTTATTGTGGTAGGATACACAGAGGCTAAAAATCTCAAAAATTGTAAATCAACAAAGTAGTTTATGTGTAAAATATATAACTTCCATAGTAATATACAGTAGTTCAATTGTGCCTAATTTGGAATGCACACAACCCTTCTATATCCTCACACAATTAATTATCCAGGAGAACTGAAATCAAACCCCAAGCATCAAATGCCACTACAGAGCTGGGGTGAAGTGGTTTTGATATTTTAATTCATTATCCAGAAGAACTGAAATCAAACCCCAAGCTTCAAGCATCAAATGCCACCACAGAGCTGGGGTGAAGTGGTTTTGATATTTTAACTGTGTATCTCAGTGATTCAGCATATAAACAATAGATTAATTTCACCAAACATTAACTATGGAAAAGATACCCACCTAGTGTAGGAACAGCTGTCCAGCTTTCCCAGGCGGGTAAAGCAGAGGCTCACAGTGTCTGCACAGGATGGGATCAATCACCCTCTGAGGGTCCTTTTTCCTCTCGGTTGCCTCAGCAGAAGGGCTGGATGACGGGCAGAACCCCAGGCTCCATCTTTATACTGCTGAATGGCAGCAGCTCTCACTAGGTGTCTGTGGGCACATGGATGCAGATGTCCACGCGTGGATTCCATTCTCTTTTGAAAATGGAACACTTTTAAAATAGTTTAGAATGCAAGCCCCGAGTGCTTATTCACAAATCAGGAAAAAATTAAGTAGGTTCATAACAGGAGTACATAAAAAGTACATAATCTGCACCTGCTTCCCTTCAGTGCGCACTGCATTTCCTTGCTGGCATTTGAGTAACTTCTTTTTTCATTTGTGTTACTTCATTTTTTTCTTAGGCCTGAGAGGGTAAGTTATGAGGGGGACAGATGTTCTTCACTGAGATTTCCAAGCTTAAAAATTTCCTGGAAAATGCCAAACCACTGCATACTCCTCGGTATCTGTTCCAATACCTGCGTCCCTTCTGTCTCCATGGTCCAGAGGAATGTCATTTCATGTCGATCTACAACAAATAATTCCATAAAATGCTTTATGGTCCATAATTAAAAGCTTTACAAGTTCTTTTTTTTAAAGTTTGTAAAATTTTTAAGTTATGTTTATGCTATTCCCTGTTTCAAAAGCGAGGAAACCTTAGTTAGAAGGGCAAATGCAGAGAAGCCGAGAAATTTGTGCATGATCCCAGAGGAAAATGCTTATTTGGGATTAAGGGGTGCCCGTCTCGACGTGTTCACCCGTGGCAGCTCTGAGGGGAGAGCGGGCGAGCAGTAGCCACTAGCCCTGCTTCCCCTGGGCTGTCCCCTCCGCTTCCCGCCCCAACACCCGGGCCAGGCTAACGGACCCGCCATCGCCTGTTCCTGAGGGGCCGCCTCCCCTCAGGGCCCGGCCCGGCGCTGGCGGGCCCCTCACGCCGCCTGAGGCCGAGCCTCCGCGGCCGCCCGGGGGCAGCTGCCGCCTCCGGAAGGCGCCTCTTCTCCTCATGAGCCCGCCCAGGTGAGGGGAGCCCCGGAGTGGAAGGGGCGTGAGGCGGCGGTGGCCGCTGGGGGAGGAATCCCTTCCCGCCGGGGCTCTGCGCCTCCTTCGCCTCAGGAGCCGGCAGCCCGGGCCGCCTGCCCGGTGGTGCCTCACAGAAGGGGCCCCCGCCGCCCCCTCGGGCCAGCTCTTACTTTCCCAGCCATTTACCGCTTCCTCCGCCGCCTCCCCTCAGAGCGCCCGGAGGGAAGGGGCGGGAGCCCGGGGGGCGGGGGGCGGCGCTCCCCACACACGGAGCTCCCCCGGCGGGCGGGAGGGAGGGAGGGAGGTGTGGGCCGCCTCCGCTCTGCCCCGGCGGGGGCCGGCCGTGCTGGGGCAGGCCCGGAGCCCGGCGGGCTGCTCTGCTGCCGGTGCTGCCACAGGTAATGCCCCGGCGTCAGTTATTCCTCAGGCCCGGGTTGTATTTTTTCCCTTTCTGTCACTAGGGGGGGAAAAGGAATATAAATTTTTCTGTTCGGAAGCCTTGACAGGAGTCAGTGTTGACACAGCCTTGACAGTGCTGAGTCCCTTCAATATCAGGGATGAAGGCATTCGATACTGCCAGTTTAATTGCCTTTTTTAAAACTTCACTTTATCAATGTTATCCGATTTATTTTCTTCCCGTTTTGCTTTTATCACTGACACTTGTTACCTTTCACGTACTAAACAACAATGTCTACAGTATCCAAAGCGGCCGATTTTTACATCCTGGTTGGTACTTGAGGCTGGAAAGGATTAGGCCAGAGCCGGGAGCATCCTTCAGCAAGCACAGGGCTGCCCGGGGAGGGAAGGAGTGCTGCAGTGAATTATTTAAGTATTGCTAACGAGGAGGCCTGGTAGCACCATGGGTGACCTGCTTTCACAGGGCCAGTAGCGTCTCTCTGGGATGGTGTTTTAACGTTCATTCACGCTTGTGGCAAAATGGTATCTCAGCCCCCCCATTTTTCACATAGCGTTACAGGTGCTGCACTGCGGCTTGGTGCTTCCTTTAGCCTGCTGAAGCGATGGAAATTGGATTCATAGTTTTCTTCAACCTGTCTTCTCCTTAGCTTTTTGTGATTGCTGGACAAGGAACTTAAAATATCTTAAGTCTTGTACTTTTATGTTGTTTTTCAAGACACAGAACACAAAGGGCTTTAAAGAGAACACGTAGGATGAAAGTAAACATTTGTTTCCAGTGTGCTGCAGATGCATCTGAATGAATAATCCCACTTGTCATTTTCCTTTTGTGACAAATAGTGCTCCACATGGAGTTGCCTGATCTTGTGTTTACTGCTTATAGAGCCCGGATGACTGTGAACTATTGAACCCGCTCCCCTCTCTGGAAAGGGTTCTGTGGCTCAAAGAAATAAATTCTTTGGAGTTTTGCCTTTCTGCTTCCCAACTGGTAAGGGTCCATGTGTCTGATGCAATGGACAGTTGAGGGTGACACCAGCTGTGTCAAAGTATGATCCTGTGTGGAGAGATTCTAATGTGTATTTAAACATGAGTGTATTAAAACCTACATACGACTTACTATTCTGTGGAAGTAAATCTCAAAATCACGTATTTCAGTAAGCACCTCTTCTAATAAATCAGAATTAGGGTCTTCCTTAAATAATACCTTAAAATAGTTTAGATGCCTTTGTACCATTAGGACAAAGAGCCTGGTGTCACTAAAGACTTACTCAGTCTTACGCTTACATCTGCATTTGACGTTAGTGGCGTTTAATCCTTATTTAATTCTGGAAGGCTTTAGAAGTTACATGCTGTTGCAGAAGAATTTGTAGAGAAGCTCAATGTTTGGGTCATGCTTGTGTTTTGATTCTGAGCTTGGCAAATGAAAAGTGAATTTTGTCAGTCTTTGTGGTGGCAGCAGAATCAAATCTGAAGAGGAGCGAATGAATCCTTAAGGATGACGTTCTGATTGATTACAAAAAGAAAAAAAAAGCAGTAGGGAAGCAGGCAGGAATTCTGTTGCTGTATTGTTATTTTACAGTGTTTTCATGTGAGCAATTTTGTAGTTGTGCAACATACATAAAAAGCCCCTGAACAGTACTGTTTTGCAGTGCTAGTTTCTAGCTCTTTTTAGTGTGTGAGGCTGCCAATTCTACTTTCTTGCTGCCTTAATTTCATAAGGATAGGTACTGAGTTTCCTAAACCAAGACTAATTTATTTTCCAGATGCAAGTCTGGGATTGGTGTTTTCTAAATGTTAACTGGTCCTAGAAGAATTTGAATTTACTAATCAAAGTGACAGGTTACGGTGGCATGAGGCCATAAAACTCTCTTTAGTCTCATTACTATTTTGCTTCGCCTTGTACTTGTGTCCTTTGCTTTGGTTTGTAAGGTTTGGTTTATTATGTAGGCTCGGTTTATTGTATGAGTTTACTGACTGTTGATAAAATAAATTAAACTCACACATTAAACCAGTGTAAAGCAAAGTATTTCAGCTTTCCATCAGAATTAAGTATTTGATTGTGACTTTGAACATGCGTGAGTTATCAACTTCTAAAATACCAGTGCTACATCCATTTATGTTTGGACTACTTCGGCATTAGATATACTTAATCCCTAATTTTTAGACCAATGCAATTTCTTACTCTTCACAGACTAGCTTTAAACTTAGCATGCAGTTCTGAAAGCCTGTTCCAGATGCTGAAGTAAGTGAGAGACAGATCTCTCTGGTAGTTCAGAGCTTGCTTGTGGGAGGGTCAATTCTGAATGGAATGCATCCATCCAGGGGGTTTAGATGATTTAACTGTACTGTTTTAAATTTTCTCTTAATTAGTCTAATTTAAAGTGCTATCCCTTTGGTTTGTATTAATTTTAAAAGCGCAAGCTACTTTAATTCTAAATGAGAGCAACCACCCTGGGATTTAACAAGCTCACTATTAAATGTTTTTGCCTGATCAAAAATGTTGTAAGTTTGTCAGTCTGGACGAATCTGCAGATTCTGATGGTGAAAAGGCTGACCCCTGTTAAAACCACTGATAAAGCTTCTAGCAACTTCCACGAAGTCTCCACCTCAAAGCCTGTTCATTGGCCATGTGTTAAGCAGCTGTAAACCAGAATTACATAGGCAATAGTAAGTGTAAAGGACAGTTGATTTTATTGGAACTAGGGCTTAGCTCTCAGTGCAGGTATTCCAATTATATATGGTGGGTTTGTTTCCCGAGATAAATATTCCTTGTGTTCAAGGCCCTGATTTTGAGGATTTTACTGAGCATGGTTCTCATTTCTTTTATATTTGTCTTATAATAGTTTTATGAATTATGTGCTTTCAGTGAAGTTACTCTTGATCTTCTCATAAGGGATCTAAGACAGAACGTCTCTTAAGAATTTACTTATCTGTGAGGCAGGTTCTGATAAAATCTACGCAGATCTAACTATGTCTGCAACACCAGTTAAGTTTGGTATATGCCTGCAATTTGGTGCTGTGTCACTTTCATTTTCTTATAAACATGGTCTGACCAATACAGTAATAGCAAGTATTCCCTCTGCCCTTCCTAAGCACACCATGGACATAATGACCCTGAGCGACAGCTGGATTAATATCCAACCATGGGAACAGCAAACACGTTCTTCCCTGGGCTTGCCATTTCCATCACTGCAGTAAAGCAGAGGTTACTTCAGATTCACTCCAACAATGTATGTGAACTGACCTTTTCGTTACATGGGTTTATAGGAAAAATTAGGCTTGTTACAACTTAATTTAACATTCGTTCTTCTCAAAACAGCATTAAAACCAGTAAGTTGGTAAGCCTTCATTTTCATTTTTTGACCTTTCGCTTTCAAACTTTGGTGTGGCTATTGCATTATGTTACAGCACAAAACAAAGATTACAGCAGACGTTTCCTAAGTTATTCTAGACACCTGTTGTGGTGTGTTCCAGTAGTCTTGTAGTGTTAGTTGAATGTCGTTTGGCTTTTTTTGGCATGCTCTATTATATGCCTCTTAAACTCAAAAGTGCAATTTCTAAACTCAAATATGCCTCTTAAACTCAAAAGTGCAATTTCTTGGTAAGAGTCTCCTATTGTCTATTTATAAAACTGCCCTTTAAAACTCTGCTGAGAAATGCTCTGGTCACAGAGTACCAGTGAATAATCAGCTTTATAGTCTGCAAATGATTTTAAACATCTGTTGAACAAAGTAAGTGTGGAACTTATCAGTTATGGCCAAATACGCCCTAGACGCTTCCCTTTTGCCCTTGAGGGAAGCTAGCTTTTTTACTCTTCCAGCTTTGAGGCAAAGGAACACCATCACTTTATTGGACTACAGTTGTATTTTATTTTAGCAGATACTGTGAGTTCCTGAAAGACCAATTAACCTTAATATAAACTGACTGTGCCATGTTGCATATTGCCCTTTGGAAGCTCTGTTGAAGTTTGCTGATGTTTACAGTGGCTGCTCGCAATGATAATTAGATGTTAAAGTGATGATCCTTGGATAGCCAAGAGGCTGCAAAGCACTCTCAGGAGATCAAGGCCCTGCAG